CGTGCATCAGTTTAAATCCTCTGGGAGAGATCTGCTTGAGTTGGTCAGCCACCGTGCTGTACTGGCTTCCCACAGGCAAAGCCCTTGCACCAGGTCTTCTGGATTTCTGGTGAGCCGTAATAAGACAGTTTTGCTCAGATATCTAGCCCATCTCAATCAGCCGTGACCAAAGCAACAGCACTGCAAGAATCATAGCGCAGCTCCCCTAAGCCTTGGAATTATTCAGAAGTAGGCTACTGGCACAGCACGCAGCTGTTAGAACTTTCTTCCCAGCAAAAATACATCATCTCTTAACATTATTTTTCCAAAACAGATGCAGTCATGTCACTCCCCAGCTTCAAACCCATCCTAAGTTCCCCATGTCCTATAATTTGAATTAATACCTCACATTCCTATAAGACTGTGTTGTCCAATGCAGCAGCCACTAGCTGTGTGGGGTTATTTAAATTTAAATTAATCAAATTAAATAAATTTAAAAATTCAGTTTCTCATTTGCATCACTCACATTTGAAATACTACATTAAACCAGACAGAAAACAAAAGCAGAAACTTGGTCTTGATGCCTTTTTAAAGTGACTTTGAACTACTCCAGGCTCATCTCTCACCACGTGTCCCCATGCACCCTAAGCTCTAACCACATCAAAATCCTTGCTCTTACCCAGACATACTATAATATCTGTCCTTATGCCATTCCTGAGACCTGAAATAACCTTGCCTCTTGTGCATCTGGTAATGTCTTATTCACTTTTAAAGACCCAGCAAATACCTCACCTCCTCACCTGCTCTGTGAAGATTTTCCTACCAACCCACTCTACAAGGAGGGGGTTCAAACAGCCCTCTCAGTCATGCTTATGTTTCTGTTGCTATTTTCCTTAACCTCTTACACATTCTGATTGAGTGGATTTCTCAAACCACCTGGTTTTCCCAAATTGTGTTCTTGCTCCTTCCCCCTACACACAGTATCTGAAAAGCCCTCACTTACCATAGTTGAGCTTCTCCCATTCACTTCCTCCTCCTCCTCTCCTGTTTCTCCTCACAATTTACCTTTAAATTATCCCCCATTTCCCTTTCTGCGCATACTTAAAGGATAAATCCTGCAGAAAAGAGCAGAGAATCCTAGAAAAACATTAATTTCCAAACATTTTTATACCAATGGATTATCCTTCTGCTAAAACAAAATTTTTGATAATATTAATGATGTCCCTAGTGGTCTTTAAAATATTTTGGAATTGGTGCACCTTCTTACTGCTTTGATTTTACAATTCCCCTGCCAACACCCCATTCCTCTCCTAACCAAGTAATTTACATTACTGCTAAAAACAGTTGGCCTCAATAATTTGGGAGTACATGTGTGTGGATGTGAGAGAGAGAGAGAGAGAGATCTCTTTAGGTCATTGAGAATACTATGAGGTAATTTGCTTTTTTTTAATTTTGTGCATTTCATGCTCTTTTAAAATTTTTGACATTTTGAATTTTTCCCTGTTTTGCTTTTTATTTCCACTTTTTCTACTTAGAATTCAGTTCTTTTATGAAGAAAAAGTTATAGATGTTTATCCATTCATATGTCTTCCATAAAAATAAACCTTGGCCTTTGCCAGTTCCACTACTAATATCCAAAGAAGAATAAAGAAAGTGAGGGAATTTTAAACTAACAAACCAACCAAATTCCCAAGGTAGGCTAAAAAGCAATCCAAAGACTTGATTAAATTCATTTTTATATGTCACAGCACAATATTGACCTATCATTCCAAAGTCTGTTTAAAATACTACAGTTACCCCAACAACTCCATTTGTGCGGAAGTGAGACCACAGTCTTTTAAAAATTGTGGAATGTTCCCTGACCACTTACTATGTCAGCCATCATTGAAGCACTCAGATCTTATGTGATTTTATCCTCGCAACAACTTTCTAAAGTACTGTTATCATCTTCAATTCACAGATGAAGAAACTGAGATTCAGAGAGGTTAAGCAACTTGCTCTGAGTTTCACAGCAGACACACTGTATGGGGAAGAGCCAGGGTTTTTAACTCGCTGCTACTTGCTGCTGTGACTCCCACTGCTGCCCAGCATGCCAGCCATTCCATTTCCCACTGCATACTGTTTCATGATGCTCTTGAGAAGAAGACGTTTCATTTAGTGCATGTGTTTTCTGTCTCTGGAAGCCAACACCAGACTTCCCACATCACATTTGACACCAAGCTCCCATGGTTAGGATTTTTTCCCCTCAGAAGCACTCACATCATCAGACTTGCCTATCCAGTCTAACTGTAATTCTGCAACACAGAAACAGGGAGTGGGCCTTGACTTTACACACCCATGGCCAACCCCAGGTAGAAAGTCTGAGAATGTTAGTGTTTGATCTTTGCTTGCATAACCTCAACCCAAGAAAATCCACATAAGTGTCCCTCCTACTCTATTAAACGCCTGGAGCAGCTCTGGGGCTCATTCCCATGTCCACAGCCACTGGGAGTCCACAGAAGGCCCCCAGAAAACCCAGATTGGAGTTCCCTTTCATTTCACAGCTACAGTGTGTGATTCCTTTGGAATGGTGGGCCTTCTCGGCACCCCTAACATTGCACTACGTTAGCATCGCCCACTTCACCCACTTTGTTTTTCCAAAAGCCCTGTTGAACAAGTACATCCAAGAAAAAAAAAATGTAAGAGGAAACAGAGAGACATTTAATGCTTCTTTTCTGAATAAATGGATTTCCTTATGAACATTTGGCAAGTGTCACATCTAAAGCCTCTACCATTAAAAGAAAAAGCCATCACAGGCTAAGTGGCAAGCTGTGAGCTGAAAACAAAAGGTTTTATGAGTTGATATTGTTTATGTTACAGAGTCAAATATTCTTCATGTATCCGATGCATGAATGGAGTAACTGTTACTTATCCAGTTATGTAAGGAGAACTTTGTGGTCTATGTGCTTTTATTTTCATCCCAGACTCTAGAAAGGGGCCTAGAGAAAATACATTATCCTCAGATGACTGAAACCTAAAAGCATATACTCCCTCTCTCCCTTTCTTCCCAACCAAACCACATTTTGCCTCTGCCAAAATGGGTACGTTCAAATGAAAAAATTAAATGAGAGTGAACTTCTATCTTGCAGGAAGAGTAACTCCTAATGGGTTTCTAATGAAGCTACTTGATAAGGTCTACTGTCCCTTTACTCTTTCATCCAAATCTTTATTTATCCAACAGTAAGGAAAAAATAAAACTGGAGTCAAATTGGTAAGGCAGCCCAAAGGAGTCTCCAATAAAGTAAGACGTAGTAAAGCAATGGGTCGAATCATAAAACAGCAGCATTAAACACCCTCCTCTTCCTCACTCGGCAGAGCCCAAGGCAAAGAGAAACACTGGGGGTTGAGGGTGGGAAACTGGGGGTGAGGAGGGCCCTTTCTGGGACTTCCTGAGTTGATTGCAAAGATTAGAAGGAAAGAAAGCCAACATATTTCAAATGACTGTGTGATTTGCCAGGATTGCAGAGCAAATCAAGGAATGTTAAAAATTATGTCATTGACATCATGTACTAAAAGGATCTCAAGTTATTTAAAAATAACAACAAAAAATTACCATGGAGAGGATCTCACTCTAACACTTCAGATATTTCCTGGCCAATGCCTAACCACAGAAAAAAATTCTAAGGTTGCATCTTAAGTTCCCACTGCCCTATGAGTGGCTGGGCAGCTTCCTGGATCTCCCAGGAAAGGTATGCAGTCTGCCCTATGGGCTGACCCCCACTTCACAGCCAGATCTGACAAGGTGCCAGCAAATACATTCTCAAAAGCAAAGACATTCTTTAGGGATTGTGCAGAGGAATTTGGCAGCTGTGTCAGCCTCATGAGGTGTGGCTTAAAGAACAAGTTCCTCAACCAGGGGCATGGGATTATTTACAACCTCTCTAGAATAAATCACTACTAAATTGTCTTTATCCACAAATCCACATTCACATTAAAATGCTGGTAGCATTCCTCTGCTGCTGATATCTAAAATATTAAAACAAAAATCGTAACAAAACTTACCTTGGCAAATGTTCCTTGCACTGAACCAAGTAAAGAATGGAACTAATACGGGATACTGTGCACAAATACTATTTCTGCTTCTCTTTTTTCTTCCCTCCTTCCTTCTGTGGAACACCAATGAAACAGCTCCTGACATTCCTGATGCATTCTGAGGACCCAGTAAGGAAGACTCTAGAGTCTCAGACACCCCAGGAGGGATGACAGGCCTCAGACCCAGAACCCTCCCTCAACTGGGTCCTTTTTCAATCCCAAAGAACACTGTGCATGCAGAGACACAAGTATTCTTAACTATGATCTTATATCCACAGGTCACATCAGTCATGGGAAAAGTCAAAGGCTTGAGAGGAACTGGGTTCCAGCCCCACCTTTTTATCTCAATAATTCCTACTAGACCTAACCTGAGGTCACCATCTTTCTATTTTTGATGTGCGGTTCTGCTTACTTTGGACAGAACATAATATTGGATGATAATGGTGCTTTTACCCTGTTGGCCTGCAAAGGGGCAAAACTATTTCTCTATTGGAGGTGAGGAGGCTTATGTTAAGTGAGTTACTAGGAAGACTGCAGAGGTGAGGTGAGCTGTCACCCTGGGCTAAGGGCTGAGTCTTGTTGATTCTCAATGAGAATCGACTGTCGCAGTCCTGTGAATCATTTGTGAACTAGGCATGAACTTCCTGAATGCCAGAACTGAGTGGGTGGAGCACTGAAGGGTTTTTGTTGTTGTTACTTTGTTTTTTGCAGTAAGGAAGAGTCTCTGACTTGTCCATGGATAGGGGCAGATGAAATAATAGGCCAGTTCCTAGAAGCCAGAAAGACAAACCAAAAGAACAAAAAGAATGTTGGGAAGAAAAAGCCATATAAAATATCTGAGATGTTATCAACCTTTTGGGACTAGACTCAAGTTGCTTTAGGACAGAAAGCTGTACTGTCTGTGACCACTTCTGGTTGTGTGTCTGCTAGACCAAAAATGATGAATGAGAGCATTTGAGCACTGCCCACTCAGCTGTGCTCTCCACTGCCCGCATTTCCTAGGTCAGTCTTCAGGAGGAAAGCAGTCAGAGCCAAAGGACGACTACAAACCATAGGACCTGCACAAGCTGAAAGAGAAGGAAACTGGTGTGTCCTAAAAGTCTCCTGGATGCTGGGGAAGGAGGTGATCAACAAACAAGACAGCAGGGAAGACTGCGAACTAGAGAGGCAATGATTGGAAGGTAAGAGTGAGAGACTCACTAGAATGGCTGGGCACTAGAGAAGTACTATTCAAAAACTAGTCATGCACCCCTACCAGCATAAAAACACTTTGAGCATATACCACCTATATTGAATTCTCTTTTTTTTTGCACTTTTGTGTATTTTGTGTGGTGCAGATTATCTGTGGGTAACCCAGCACTATCTACCTTCCAAGATCTCTTCGTCACAAGGGCTAGAAGACAATGAACTACATTTCTTAGAAGTCCTGCCGGCAGAGTTTTGTGTTATGATGCCCTTGAGAGACACTCCTATGAGCCTTGGAAGGTGGGAGAGAAGCAGAAACCATACTATCATTCCTGTGCCACTGGCAGGCATGTAGTGTGCTTTGGCAGACCACAGATTAAAGATGTTTCCAGAGCTGCTGGTAAGCCTCCTGTGGATGGTTTCATTTCAGTGGTGGATAGGTAGCTCAATCATGGTCAGACATTTCCTGTAATTCTTGATTTCCTGAAAGCTGTTTGCAGCTGTTTAACCTGCATGCTCCCAGCCTTTCTGTTTCCTTAGCAGAAATTTAACTGACACATATTCCTTATAAAGCAAATACACATAATAGATATAAAAGAGTAACATAAATACTATTTTAATTATTTTAAAAATAAAGTTTTTTCTCAATAAAAATATTAGCTTGTAATTACTTCTTTTAAATTATTTTGCATATAATTTGAATGTCCGGCTCTACATTAATTTTATTCCAATATGCAGTTTTAATAGCTATCAGAGCTAAAAAAAAAAACCTCACAAAAATATATATATTAATAGAGAAGATGCACCTGATTAGCTACACTTACTAAACTGTGATATCCAAGAAAATTATGATATGCAGAAAATTATAAAACTTTGCAGAAGGACAGTAAATAATATGTAAATAAAATAGAAACAGATCTTGTGTTCTTGGGTAGGGAGATTTAATATTATAAAGACAGTAATTTATCCTCTGAATAATCTATGGACTTAATGTAGTTCCAATCAAAACACCAACAGACTGGCTTCATGGAAGTCAGTGAGCTGATTTTAGAAAGCACATAAAAGAAAGAGAATACTCAAGAGCTTTCTGGGGAAAAAAAGGCTGAGGTGGGGTGCAGGACTTGTTTCATCAGACATAAGAACTTGTTGTCAAGTTGTGGCATTAATCCAGTGCTGTACAGGAATAGATGCACTGATAAATTAAGGACAAGTACCAGAGAAGGAAACCCACACAAATATTTAACTTTGCTATACAACAGAGTTGTCTGAATTAAGTCACCCCATCTGTGGCGCTCTTACAGCAGCCCTAGCTAACACAGGCTGCGGGCCAGAATTTTAACCATCACTCCTCCTCCATATTTCCAGGCTTACAGGAGAGCACAGCCCTGCCTGAAACATTCTGCACCTTCTGCAGAATGAATTCTGTGTAGCAATTTGGCATCATTACAGAAAAAAGGAACCTGATCAAAGTTCTGTTCTAAACTCTCACTAAATTCTCTTCTGATCTTCCAATTATAAAATTAAACTTCACATGATTGCCACAAATGTGTATGTCAACCCTGTGCTTTGCTCCTTTTTGGTGACTATCACATATTGGCATTTATTTTATTGACAACATCCACTGCCTGCCTTTATTAACAGCTAAATAATATTCCTTTATGTTCATGAAATTCATAAAATGGCCGATATGAAAAGGTTATGCTGCTGTTACCAGAAATGGTTACTAGGGAAATGATATGAATCATAGGACTGCAAGAGAACCAACCTGGAAACCATACCTTCCATCAAAGCCAGCCCGCTCCATTTAAAGCCAAGAGAGACGAACAGAGCAGAACGTTGAGGCAGCAAAGCAACAGGATACACAGTCAGAATAAGAAACGTAATTTTCCAAGTAATGAGTAGCTGGCACCAGAATTTTTCTGAGGATTTTAGAACAAATGGACTTCAATTTAATGTAGGTGATCAAGGTCACTGTCCTAAAGATGCAAAGAAGAAGACTCCTTTGCCCTGCTAGAAAACATGACCACCTATCAGAGCAAAACAGGTTTGTCCCCTAAGCAGAGTTTTCTGTGGCTGTAGAAGCCAATAAGACTGTGTGCCTTCCCGGGAGTCAGGCCCAGGAGAATGGCTGCTCCTCCATAGTTAGAGAACCAGGCGGCTCAAGGAAGAGCCATCATGAAAGCACAGTTTAGGAGTTGGCTAGATGGAACTCAGATTCAGTGGGTTGGCCACTGAGAACAGTCCAGAAAATCCTCTCAGCATTGTAGCTGCCAGGGGGGTGCATGATGCAGAGGGAAACTGTATGATTCCAAAGGGGTCTGCCTTAGTGTATCTATGAGAGTCTATTTTAAAGATGTCTTAAAGACCATGCCCTGAAAGTCAAACAAAATATAATGTTCTACCTTTAAAAAGGTCCAAATTTTTTGTAACTCCTAAAAAACAAAAACAAATGATCAAAAACAACAGCAAAAATACTTTTGCCAATATTTAGACCAGCTTCTTAGATGATAAATTAATTTGACTATGGGGAGTATGTTTTAAAAGTTCACAGTAATATAGGCTCTCTGGTTGTCTAGTTGAGGTTTTCTAGATTTGAAACTTGCTGCTTTTTTAATTAATCAACTTTCTCAGAGAGGTTTTAGTTTTACAGAAAAATTACGCAGGACGTACAGAGTTCCCATATGCCCCCTTTCTCACCCTACCGTCCTAGTTTCCTCTGTTTCTAACCTTTTGCATTAGTGTGGTACATTTGTTACATTGATGAGCCAGTATTGATTATTATTAACTGAAGTCCGTGGTTAACACTTTGTGTTACTTTGTGTCGTACCACTCAGTGGATTTTGACAAATGCATAGTGTCTTGTATCCGTCACTAAACATCAGAAAGAATAGTTTCACTGCCCTAAAAATCCCCTGTGCTCAAGGTAGGTACTCTCCCTCTCCCAGCAAAACCCCCAGCAATCACTGATTTTTTTTTTTTTTACTTTCTCTATAGTTTTGCCTCTTTCAGGGTAGAATATAGTTGGAATCATAGGATGCCCTTTTCAAACTGGCTTCTTTCACTTAGCAGTATGCATTTAAGGTGCAACTGCCTATTTTATGCGGTGGTGAAAAAATGAAAAGGATGAAGAGAACACAGTCAATTTTAAAAGAAATACTCCTAGTGCTTTACTAATAATTCTCCTCTCTCTCTCTTGCTCTCCCCCGCCCCCACACCAGTCATTTAGGATTTACACTCAACAATATGAATGTGCCAAGTACAGAAAACAATGAAATTTGGAGTAAAGACTATTCCCATGTTAAATTTACATTCTTAGGCCAATAGTAGATGGAAGTCTCATACTGGTAACTTTGAAATCTGTTCTCCCATTAAAACAATATTTGAGGGGGACTGGAAAGTAGAAATAGAATTTGCAAACAAGTTCTAAAGTCTTTTTAGTAGATTTATTTATTGTAGTGGTATGAGTGAAATGATTCTGAAATCATTGAGATACGAAGTATTTGGTTGAGAATGTATAAACTGACTCTAGCCATGAGGAAATATCATACTAATGAGGAATATTCTATTAAAAAGAGGAGAATATTATAATCTTTGAGAATGTCATTGGCACAAAAGACAAGGAATGTCTTGTGGAAACGTTCCAGATTAAAGACACAAGAAAACTTGTATTAATATGTTCCAGGTTAAAGACACAAGACAACTAAAAGCAATGTCTGACCCTGGCTTGGATCCTGTATTGGAGGGGAAGATGTTGTAAAAAAAATCATTATTGGGGCAATTGAATAAGGACAATCTCTTGGATAAAACTGCTCTATCTGTTAAATTTATTGAAGTCGAGTTACAGTTCTGAAAGGGAATATTCTTGTTCTTAGGAAATGCACAGTGAAATATATAGGAATAAAGTGGTCCTGGGATAAAGGGCCATACTGTATACAGTTTAATGTTGGTAATATAAAGTATATAAAGAGAGTGAGACAATGAATACAAAACAAAGGGGGCAAAGTGTTAAAAATAGATTAACTTGAGTAAATGGTATAAGAAGTGTTCTTTGTATTGTTTTTGTGTTTTTGCAACTTTTTTGTAAATTTGAAATTATTTCCAAACCAGAAAAAAATCATTAAAGAAAACAGTATCCAATAAAGCATGTGGTGACAATGAGACAATGAACATTCTTCCACTGCATTCCTCATTTCCCATCCCCCGGGCAACTCCTACTCATCCTTTAAAATAATCTGCCAAGGTATTACTTTCTCTATGTTACCTTCCCCAACATTTTTCTTTCAAAAAAATACTACACACTTTGCATCGTCTGAAATTGCATTTAGATTTGAGTGACAGACTGAAAACAGCAGTGGCTTAAACAAGACAGAAATGCACTTCCACCCCAAAAGTAAGGGAGAGGCAGTCCAGGGTTCTGCTGTGTCACCAGGACCAGACTCCTTCTACCTTCCTTCTTTGCCATCCTTCATACATGGCTTCCCTCCACAAGGTCACATCATCCTCCAGAATTGCACCTGGAGCTCCAGCCATCACATCCACATTTCAGCCAGCAAGGCCCAGCCATTCGTTCCATGCTAAGGAGACTTCCTGCAAGTTCAATCCCAAAACTTCCACTTGCATCTCATCAGCCAAAACTTAGTCCCAGGGCCACATCTAGCTGCAAAGGAGGACAGAAAATGGAGCTCTCAGGTGGGCATTCTGCCACATGGTATAAAATTGGAGTTCTTTTATTAAAAAAAAGAGGAATAGTTAATATTCTGTAGGCAATTATCAATTTCTAAAAACCCTCCTGTTGTGAAGTTCCCATTATTATGTACATATTCATTATCACATGTATCATATCATATTTCACTTATATTACTGTCACTATCACAAATCATAGCATAAAAGTTTTGGATATAAAATATCTGTGCTGGCTTTCGAGTGCCCCAAAGCCTGGCCCAGGGCCCATCCCATAGTAATCACTCATGTAAGGTTGATAAAATTAAATGAGTTAATAGGCAGCCATTTGAGATATTCCAGATGTGTATATTTGATAGTCCACAGGATTATCCTGAAATTATGGAAAGATTTCAAGAATCAACTTCTTGAAGTTTTGTTTGGTTATAAGACCCAAGTTCAATTTTGGTGCTGACAAAACTCATCGATGATTACAGGTCATAAATTATAGAAGATAGCATATAACTTAAGGTTTTAACAGCAAAATACTATCCTTTTTCCTTAGCTTCAATGACTTTTCCCTCTATAGGCTCTGAATGCTGAGAGCTCCTTCATTTATTAAATGTTATAAAACATGTAATGTTAGATATATCTCTGACCTCACTGACCAATCAGTAAGGAAGTAGGTTCAAAAGCAATTTCACTGGCACACTCAACAATGAGCAACCATACAGGAAACAGGAAGCAGAGGATGTCAGATTTCTAAGTGATGCTTCACTTTCTCAAGCATACAATACATGGCAGAACCCAACTGATTTTCAGAAAAGAGCAAAGGGCCAGTCCTTTGCTATATGAAACACTATATGAAAACACAAACTTGGAAAGAATTTTCACACAGAGAAAAAAAAATTTTAAACCTTGACACTCATGTAGTCACCAAATACATTTGAACTGTATCATGTGTTAGGGATTTTGCTGTACATGAAAGGTAGAATGGCATAAAAGAAAGAAAAACTCTTAATTTCATGGAGTCTTTAACCTCAGAGAATTCTCCCAGCTGGTAAGTGGTAGAGCATGATTTCAGTTTCAGCCTTGTGTACTTCCAAAACCCATGTACTTGACTGCTATATTTTTACATTAAGAATTAGCCCTTGAATATAAATTTGGGGTCTACAGTCAAGTGATAGATGAAGATCCTAAACTGTTGCCTTTAGTATGTGGTCTTTCCAGTAAAAAGTGAAGCTGGTGGTAATGGGTAAGAGAACTGAAATATTTTTAAGTAAAATAAAATATGCATTGGTATTTTATTTTATCTTTAAAGTTTCACTTCATTGAGTTCTACGTTAATGAGTTACCAAAATTTTGCAGTGTTCAGATTGCTTTATGGTTGTCTCAACATAACCACCAACATTCTGAACTGCAAAGAAATAATTTGGATATTACTTTCCTAATTTGGATATTATTTTCCAAAAATTCAAATTCTCCAATTTTTTCCCCTAAATTGACTAGATAACTTGGCACTGTGAGCAGCCTCATCACAGCTGTCAGGGCTATCAGATTAAATACTACCCAAAATAAAAGGTGGGGTTCCAGAAGTAAAACAAAAGCCATGCCAAAACAGATAAACACACACCCTCCTTTGAAGATTACTGCCAAGTGTCTTTAAAATATTGCCAAAGGAAACTTCTCATCCAGGTTTCCTTCATCTTAATCTTCCCTGTTCTAATTCTAAACACCCCGGCTGTTGCTTGCAGCACCACAGTTCTACTTTGAGCTTTAAAAACATACTAGGGAACTGACTGGCTGAACTCTTGAGTGATGCCATTTTATTGTCACCTGACTACCATCTTAGGGAGAAGAGAAAAGAAGCATGAAGTTGAGGTATCTGGCCATAAGTGAGACCACAAAAGGTGGTCTGACAAGCTCACAGCACATCTGTGTGTTTCCCTGCTGGCTTGTCCAGTATCTTCTTCTTTGAGAAGACGACAAAAACATCCCTGACTGGTTGTCACACCTAGATTCTCTGATTAATGGACCTGTCATTGTGGGAAGTTGTCCAGTCTAAACTGTGAGATCATTAAACCCTAGAAAAGCCATGAAAATATTGTTTGGCTTCCTGCCAAAAGGAATATTAAGTGGCTCTGAATCACAGTTCCAGACCACCAGCCAAGAGTGACCGCAAAGCAAATTCCTACTCATTTAGAAGATCAACAAGGTAGTAATTCTCCCCCAGAGTAATAACTCTTGTTATGGTAGCAAGCCCTGATCATTCTTCTTTTCTAAGACAGGGGAAAGACAGCCTCAGATGCTCAAAAATGGCCAGAAATATGACAAGGATAATGTCTTTGGGTCAAAAGTGGAGTGCTTGATGCCTGAAATCCAAACATTAATCCAATTTCCTTTTTTAAAAAAATTACCACATGCTATTCTATAATAAAGTGAATATTTGATTGTATTAAGCCTACAGACTAATTTGATTGTATTAACCTATAAGCTAAAAATTGTCCCAATTTCAGCCTAATACCTGTACATCATTATAATTCGTAGCATTACTAAATTCAGACAAAATACCAGGACCAGATAGAAACATGGAAACAAACATGATCATGTGTTTGGTCCCTTGAAATCTGAGTCCCAGAAAGGAGGTGTTCAGTAGTTGGTCAGTTGGGGAGGCAGAAGGGAGTCAGGACTATGATCCCCACATCATCCTTAAAGGGGCACTAGCACCCACGTTCTAAAAGAAGCCATGAGAGTGAATCTTCCCAATTTCTTTTTAATGAACAAATTCTTTTGAGTTGGACATATCTTCATCTAAACATCCTCATGCACTTTTCATTTTGGGCACTAGAGGGAAACAAAGTAAGAAAAATGGTGAGGTCTAACGTATTAAGCTATTAAAAGAGCTCTATTCCTCTCATTTTATTAATGTAGTCTTGTTACTTTAGAAGAGAAGAAAGCTTTCAGATAGTAGCCTGGTTTCAAAATATGCCCGTTTGGGTTTTATTTCACAATATTCCAATCCCATTTCTCACAACAAAATCTATAGCGGAATCTCAGAAGATCCATACCTCAGGGGGAAGCAGGGGAAAAAAAAAAAAATGAAGCTGTAAGTCAGGTTCCAGAAGGGTTTAGGTTACACAAGCTTATTAACAGAGCCCTATTTAAATTCTTTTTGGCAAATTAGACGTAGGAGCATATTTGTTATGAACAGGAGGAAACAACCCCATTCTTGGCTTCAGCTTTCTTTTTAAGCACACCAGTAGGATCATGGCTTTTAGAAATGAAAGAAAAAGCAGCATTACCATTTACTGCGCACACTTCATCACCATTTCCCCACAGAGAAAACGTGTCTGGGATTTTCATTACTGATGTAACAAGTGTCATTAAGCCTTCCCAGTCTTACGCCCTCCCATCTGCTTGTCCGTTTCCATCTTCAAATGGAGAAAAATTTCAGGTGAAGCAAGCTTCGTCGTCTACGTACTACCCCCACGATTGTTTATTGAGATATTGAGATGTAATTATAATGTTTGAATTTGAACTTGTAACTAGCCTCATCCAACCAAATTTCAAACTAGGGATTATTCTTATTGAAAGAAAAAAAAGCCACTGGTTCTCAGTAAATTTAATCAAAGTATTTGGTGAAGTAATACTTGATTTTAAAATATATACATGAAACGTGTGTGTGATAGTTTTTAAGAGCCAGCTATTGTTAGAATGAAAAAAAGTGATAAATGCCCATTTTATGTATTTGAATTATCTTTGTAAAGACAAAATATATGTATTTTGAGTGCTGGTGTACATTTAGTATTTACTTGCAGAGCTGAATGAGTATAAGTTAAGTCAGTCTTTTCTGGATCCTTAAAATCTGGGACGTTATAAGTTAAACAGTGTTTGGTGTCCCTAAATTGTTCCATATAGTAATAGGAAGATTCTGGAAAAGCAGCATTGCCCCTGTGTTTCATTTATTCCTGATTTCAAAACTTCACAGCCCTCACATATCCTATGGATTATTTGAATTAAATAATAATAATAATAATAATAGTGGCAGCATTCTTTTTTGTCTTCAGGTTTTACGTTTGTGACTCTCAAAGAAAATTTGTAGAAATACAGTGAACCATGCTCTATAGAGATTTGCCTGAAATAGAAAGGGAAAGCGAAT